CCTCCTCGATTTTGGACGTTGGCATCTGAAAAGTGGGATCAATTAGGCTACAGATGAACTCAAAGATCTTCAAGAACTCTTTGGTGGAGGGGGACTGGAGGGACTTGACTGTTATTGTTCCGGGGAATCCCCTCTCGGACAGGAACTTAGGAAGAGAAAAACAGAGGGGATAGGAAGAGTCCTGTGAGTAGATTGCAAAGTTATTTCCGTTAGTTCTGTTAATTCTTTAGACTGCAGTGAAGCCTTTACCTCATAGAGGTCTTTGATACACTGCTGGATGTAGGACTTGTCATGGAGAGGTCGAGGATCCTTCATCTTTTCCACACCCCCAAAAGCTCCAAAAGTGCTGTTACGGGACATGCCTGCCCCACTAGCTCTAAAAAGCAAAGGGCTCACAATGAAGTACCAAGGCTCAGACTGCGAGATCCACATATAGAAACACTGGCAGCATGCAAAGCAACCTGAAATGAGGTTTTGCATACCAAGTCTTCAAAAAGCAGGTTCCTCTATGGATACCAAGTGGAATGTTCTAAAAACTACCAGGCTTAGCTTTTTGATGCAATGTTGCACCCAATTAAGTTACATCTCCAGTCAATGCATCTAAATATGTTGGGATTATAGAGTAACACTGGAACACCAGCACCTTGAATCAGAAAAACTTCTATTAGAAATTTGTCCAGTCTTACCTTTTCCCGAAAAAACTGGTTCTCCTGTCAGATGTCCCAGACTGTGGTTTCGGGATGTTCAGCTTTCCGAAAGCAGAGTCTTTGCTGCGTCAAAAACATAAGTGGGCTCAAGACCTGAACACACACACACAGCAAAAGCAAATGGGATATGGGCAGGTGCCAGTAGTCACCTTTGTGGCGTGGCATTGACCACACTCATCCTGCTGTCAGCCACTCTGTGGGGCAACCCCGACTGTTGGCTACTGGACGCCTGGTTCATCGTTCGTTCTATTAATGAAGAGAAGGGCTCCTGGTGCTAGCACGATTTTAAATACACTTTTTTTTTCTTTTCAGAGGCACTTAAGCTACAGTCGATTCAGATAAGGTGAAGCTATTAGGTATAATATATGGTACAGACATAGAAAGGGGCACTTATAAAACAGGACCAGTATTACGGGAAATTCTGTCCTGCCCCCCCATGTTCCCCCTTTTGCGCGCCGATTTGAAGTGATTACATCACTCACTACTTTCTAGTTAGACGGTTAATGTCATTTCAATGTCTTGACATCCAACATGCTGCATGTCTGTTTTAGCAGGGGAAACCAAATATCCTGGATATCAGGAAATAATGTTTCCCCCTCCTATTTGGGCAAAGTAGTATATGGGATAGCTGAAAATCATTCAGATACATAATTTCATGCATGTAAGCTAATTTATTAGTACTGAGGTCCACAGTTGTTGCGTGTCTGTTTTAGCAGGGGGAACCTATATTTTAGGGTTAAAGTAATAATGCTCCCCTTCACATCTATGCAAAAACATTACTAACGGCTGAAAAAGTGAATCACCTACGCACTTACGTACAAATAGACTTGTAATATCAAATTGGTGTCCTGTAATTTCTGTACCATAGGAAACCATCCACCACGACATTTAACAGACTTGATTATGTCTGAATACTTGCAAACACAACGCTGTCAACAGTAGTTGATAAATGTAAGAAGTTGCTACAATTAAGTTAATTAAAATAAACAATATCTCATCGATTGTCTCATATATATAGGTTTTCTACAAGCAGTGCTAGTTTTCTGCATTTTCCCAGCAAATACCCACGATTTAAATTATTTTAATTATCGTTAAAAACAGACATAGAAATGACTTGCGAAGTTTTCACATATAATATAGTTGTTGGTCTCAACACTTTCGCGGGAAGACATTAAAACGACAGAGAAACCGTTTATGTAGCGGGCGACAGGGGAAACACGGGGAGGGGGGGAGGGAGATAAACAATACCAGCTTTAGAGTAAATGATACAAACTGGGCTTCTCTTGTAGCAAAACACACCACACACACATATACCCGCAATAACAGACTACTTGAGAAATTAATAATGAAAAAGAGAAAAAAGAAAGCGGAGATATTAGTACGTGGCGCGCGCTAAGAGTCATCTAAGCAAGCGAACTGAATGTTCTCTATATACTACAATCTTTATTAAATGAATATNAAAGAGCAACATTTTTGTTACATTGCCGCTTACAGTAACTCGGCAACTTTATCCTATTTCTCAATTTAAATATTCCGCCAACCAGTGAACAACGGATAGTACGTTGGTGACGTTAACAAAGCTTCTACTTCGGTTGTTTATGCTGGCTAACAAAGCCGCAGATTGTGCCATAAAACTACTGTAGCGCCACCTAGAGGAGTGGAGTACTTATAGGCTTTAGCCTCATCATCGTCGACATCTCTTTGTTTCAAGTTGGTAGAAAACTTTTAACCAGGTTGTACCTGCGTAATGCGCCCGGCTATGCAAGAGTATGACATTATCTCTACTAAAACACCATTGAACGCCAGTCTCTATTAAAAACCGAAGTTAGACATGAAATGTAAATTGATGCTTATTGTGCGTAATCGATCATATATGTCATACATACTGTATATGATATAGCAGATTACAGTGCAGAATATCCAGTGCATGAAGTGAGCCAGTACTCAGCAGTATGTATTACCAGCACCTCTTAATATGTGCTGGTAATGAATAACAAAGGAAAGTCTTCTTGTGGTTTGACTGGCTTGTTTCTTTGATTGAAAGATTCTTCCAGCTGTTTCACATAAACATTAGTTACACATGCATGATTCTGGGAGACCGACTAATCAGCACACAGCAAGTGCTTAAGTGAGATCCAGGTCGTTTTAATTAAATGGTAGTTTACAAACCTTGTCCTAGCTTAGTGTCCTGCCTGACATGGGTCATCTGGTCCAGTGAGAATATCCTGCATGTGCTTCAGACATATTTTCATCTTTTTATACAGAGGTTCACAAAATTTCAGAGAAAAAAATGAGGTCAAATTTGATATCAGGATTGTGAGAGTAAGTGTAAATTAGGAGCCATTTTGTGGCATTTTTGCAGCGATTTTAAATCTTCTCTCAAAAGTCACCAACATATTTACACGTACCTTTTCCCAGGCTAATAGTGTATCAATAAGCTAAGTAATGACATACGTAGATTTTTAATTCATTACACTATAATAAGTAAAATGTTTTTGGGGTACTCATGAGAGATTACACTGAGACATTCATAGAAATCTATATCATTACAGTTAATGATTATAATCAAAGATAATCGTATGGTACTTACCCAGAGTGCCCCATCTCCATTTTCTACCATGATTTTTAGGATCCTCACCACTGCAATAAAGGCTGAATCCATTGGGGGAAATTATCCAAAAAGAACATTTTTCTTGTACCTTGTCCACAGCTGTGCTGGGCAGGCAATCTTGTTTCAAAGACCTGGGCATTTGGAAAAGGATGATCTTGACAGTGTCTAGTAGGCCTCATTAGTGATGGCTGATTTAACATCCACATAGGACTCTAAATTTAGTGAGAGGCTGCACACTCGACACCTAGGCAGCTGCAGCTCAAAACCATGAGGTCGTTTTGAGTCAGCCTTGCTGCTCGTGTCTCTGTCTCGTGTGACGTCCTGATCATGCGCCAAAGGACAAGCTGCTTTAGATTTTACAGCATCTGCATTGCTGTTCTCATGTTCCAGAAGCCCAGAAGGTTTTAATAACATCTAATAACTTTCAAATCATCTGTAGTTGTGTGGAATTTTTTTTTTGTCTTAATGTATTTGGTGCAAAACATTTTCTGGAACATCAAAGGTATGGGACACCCAGAACGTCTAACATGCAAGGGCTGCAGAACTTCTACTTAGGCTGTCTATGCCTATCTAGCATGCTGTCACTCTAATGAAGCCGCGTCTGCTTGCACCAATGTATTCCATGCCGGAATTTCCACCTGACGACTTCTAACACCATGGCATTTCTTTCTACCGTGTTCGTTTTTGTAGTGCAGCTTCATTGATCCTTGAGCAAATGGTAAACTTAAACTGGGCCACACATTGTGGCAGCAGGTCACCACTTAAAACACTGAACAGCATCTCATCAATGAGATAAAAGACTTTGGAGTTGAATGGCAGCAGTCAAGCCAGTGACTAAATCCATGCAGTATGGAGTCTGAAAGGTGAACGGGGACTATTTCCTCTTTCAAAGGGAATAAAATGGAAAAGGGGACCATAGGCACAGATCAGGTCTAAAGACTGAGCCCAATAAATTTTGGTCCGACCTGTTTTAAGTTGAAGTGGTGCCAACTTCCTGTATGCTATCCTCTGAAGTGTATGAGTTCAGTTTATACTCTCAATCTTATACAAAAATTGGAATGCCCCCCCAATAACAACAGACGATTACATGACAAATTCATACTTCAGAAGCCTTAGCGGCCTAGCGAATCCTAACTGGTTACAACAGTACAGTATAGCTTGGTTCACCCTGATTTTTTTCCTTAGAATGATGCACTAGTCCAAACGCTGGGGTGTGTGGTGTTGAAGATTGCAGGGAAGGGTTGCAAAGTTCAGGATGGAGGGGAGTTCACAGCTGGTTAGAGGGGCGGGTGGTTCGCTGGGCACAAACGGCCGTGTCTGTGTGGGCCAGAAGGGAGGGACATTAAGAAATACCCTGTTGCTTTTGTTTGAGCGGCATTTGTTTTATTCAAGCAACCACAAGAGCTACAAGATTTAATGAATCCTAAATTACTCTAAGCCACCCCCCCATCAAGAAAACAAACTACACAATGTATTAAATGTTGGTTTATTTATTTTTTTTCCCCAAATCGCTCAATGATGACAAAATCGAAACAGATTGTAAAATTTTCAAACTCGATGAGTGTGTTCATCTACTCCAGAGCAACAGGAAATGAACTGTGGGCTGCTGACAAAGTGTAGTTGCTTGCCAGCTGAGGAACAGCTGATCTGACACCCCACCCTGTCCCCCAACCACATTAGGGAGAGAAAGAGAGAGAGAGAGAAAAAAAACAGTCTGAGTATTGGCATTCCTACAGCGTTCCTGGCTCGCTGATTTACCGGACGCGAGTTCCAGGCTTCCTGGCCTTTATACCGTTGTCTTTTATGGTCAGGTTATCTGTAGATGCACCCAAAGCAAGAGCTCAGAAACGATGACAGGTGTGACTCTGAGCTGCCCCGCCTATCATTACAAGTTGAACTTTTCCAAACATCTGGAATAAGCTCTTATAAGAGCAGGAGTGAGACTCTAAAAGCTGGTGAGAGAGGGGGTTCCCACCCTGTGATGCTGATGTAAGGTATGCGATGTGAGCTGGCAGGCCCTGTGCTCGGCGCCTCCACATTACAGGAGCCTCACAGCAGCACTTCAGGTCTCAGCAGGCCCAGAAAACTAGTGGCAGAGGGTCCCGTTCCATCCGCGGGACGGACCGACTGAATCAGCTGGGAGCAGCGAATAAATAAGAGAAAAGCTTCTGCCAAGAACTCATCGGGCTCCTGTTGAATCCTTCGCTCACAAACACGCACACATACGCACACATACGCACAAACACGCACAAACACGCACGCATGCGCACACATACGCACAAACACGCACAAACACGCACGCATACGCACACATACATACACACCATTTTCATTCTGCACGTTGCCATCCCTTTAAACTGTTGCTTGGCAACCTGACTCTGCCAACTTCAAACTCTCCCTGTCTCAGATCACAGGGTAAGACTGAGCTTGAAACCAAGTGCCAATGTCTGTGTGCCAGCAGAGCGACTCTCCTCCTCATTGATCTTTTCTTGTTTCTTTCTTCAGGGTGAAGCGAGAAATCAGTTCTTGCCCCTCACTGGTGTCCCCTACGTTCCTACACATCGGTCCCTTATCTAAGTGGCCTACACAGTACATCAATGCGATTCCTTCAGTAAGATGTGCTTAAAATCACTTTTACTCAAAAAAACCTAAAAACACAAAAAAGGTATTAAAAAATCAAGTGAAGGCTAAACTCTTCATAGTTTAAAGAAAGGAATACAGCTTATATACATTATCTCAGAGGCTACTTAAAATACACCTTATTAAAGATAATCTTCATTGTTTTTTTCAAGGACCTGTGACCTTACATACAACCAGTAAGATTATTATTATCTTTTGATTTTTTTTTCTCTCCTCAAAAGAAAAGTGAACCCTGGAACAATTTGTGTAACAATCTTTTTCTTCGCCCAACATTTTTAAATGTTTCATGAGTGAATATTAAATTGTACTTTTTTTTTTTTTTTTTTTTACTTTTGCTTTTGATTCAGTAAAACAGCTGTGCATTTCTCTGTTAATATCATGGGTATGAAAAGACAGTGGAAGAAAAACAATTGCATCTAATCTCAGAAACTGTGAGAAAACTTTCCAAAAAACACTTTTTTTTTTTTTTAAACCTGTCATTCCATCTTGGACAATTCAATGTCAATCATTCCTTATTTTTTTAATATATATTTATATATACATCTTTTTTAAGAAAAAAAATCTGTCTCTTAAAGTTGAAAACAGAAGACCGAAAGTCTGGTCTCCATTTAGTCCTGGCTGCAGGGAGCCTAAGAGGACGACCAGTGTGCACTGTCTGTCCTTAAGCCAGTCTGCCTGTCCGTCTGTCCCAAGTGTGACTGTCCCTGCCACGTCAAATAGTCCCTACATCCTGTGCTGGGATGTATCCAGTCATCGCGAAGGTCTGGAGGGGGTGTGAGAGGGAGGGTGGGGTGTCAGCAGTGTCCGTGTTTCTCAGTCGGCCTCCAAGCGAGGTCTATGACGTGATGACTGCACTCCTCCAGGGCTGCCGTGCAAGAGTGAGACGCTACTGCGGGGCGGGGGGCACGTAAAGGCCCCCGGCGCTACGGCGACTGCGTGGCCGGGCTGCTTTGGGTGGAGCTGGGCGACATGCTGGGGCTGCAGCTCCCGGGAGGGGCCCCCCCACCAGCCCGGGCACCCCCACTGTCCTGGCTTTCCAGGCCCTCTGAGTTCTCCAGCATCTCCTGGATGAGTGGAGGCATGGAGCCAGGGATCTCCATCTTCAGGGTGATGACACGCTCTGCTCCTGTGGTGGGAGGGGAGGAGGCGGTCAGCTACGATGCGGACAGCGAGCGTGTCTACTGTGCCAATGCCAGACCATGGTGCCCCCATGCGACTCACCCTTAGCGCTGATGCTCCTCAGGTCTGTGATTTTCATCAGCATCTTGGGGAACATGTGTGGCTTGTGCGGCCGCCGTTTCCTCACGTAGATCTTGAGAGCCTCTAGCAGAGGCTCCTGCAAGATATCCACCCTCTCCGACTCTTCCAGGTCCTGTCGGTCTGAGGAGGAAATACAGAAGGTTAACAGGATTCCTGCTGGTGTTGGTACAGCCCAAGTACTCTCTAAAGCAGTGTTCCTCAACCTGGACCCCAGGGACCCTAGACAGTCCCCTCCCAGCTCCTGGTATTATGCCCCAGAATTCCAGTGAAAATCAAAAACACAATCCCATCTGAAGCTTGGAGATTTTGAGACAGGTTCTCAATGCAGCAGTGAGAGGCTGCAGTCTTGCTTAAGTCCAGACCAAGCAGTGAGCCAAAGACCAACCAAGAGCAAACTCGCAGTGCAGTACCTCCACACAGCAGACAGATGGCACTGAGCAGCCCCGTTTCAGCATCGTCCATCTCAAGGGGCAGCAGCTGATTGGCGAATGCGAAGACCAAGTCGGTCAGGGGTCCAAAACCAGCATTGTGCATCTGAGTGCGGTTGAGCGTCAGACCATCTGAGAAGGTCATGGTGTCCTGCTCAGGCGTGTAGCGAGTGCAGATCCGCAGGATCTGAGATCGAGGAAATCAGCAGCACAGGAATAAAGAGTAAAGCATGATTCTCCCAAACATCCCACCCACTGCCATACTCCTAAAGATCTACACCTTCGAACAAGATTGGAGCCTAGATCTGGTGAAGTAGGGACAGAAATCACTGGCACTCACAAGGATGTCGAGACAGGCGGCCTTGAGCAAGGTGATCTGGTCAGCGATGGTGAGGGTGGTGAAGCCGGGGAGCTGTTTGGCAAATTCGACCGTCTTGATGATACACTTCGTGGAGAGCTCGCTGAACTTGTCCCATAGGTCAACATCCAGGGCGACGCGCTGGTCAGAGCTGTTGTTCTGGTGAGGAGGCCAAGATTAGTTTATTTCTGTCTTGACAGCCGAGTCCATCTTTAACAAATAGCATTATCTATCACATTTACAGTACAATTCCAAATGACAAAATTTGGGGCAAGTATTTCTTTGAAACTAATAAAACCTAACAATTTTAAGTAGAAAGATACAAATACAAATACATTCCACAGAATAGATTATTTGATGTGTCCAGCATCCAAAAAAGTAGCTGATGAGGTCAGCGGTGCTTTGCAAAATGGGCACTGGAAGCGGAGAGGAGGCTGCAGGACTTACTGTAGTGTATTTTCCCAGCTGGCAGAGTGAGGGGAAGGTCTCCTGGTGGGCTTTGCGCACCCTCTCGATCATCTCCTCTGTGGCTGGGCTCAGCACGTAGCTCTCGGTGCACTCCTGCTTCTTCTCGTCCTTCTTCTTCTTGTTGCGGTCGTTCCTCACCGCTGAGGGAGAGAGAGACGAGACAATGAGGTTAAAGGTCCAGCCTGCTGCCTTCAACCAGTTGGCGAAGACCACCTGTCTTTAATGATGAGACGTAACCCACGTCGAGGGGTCCAATAAGCAGAGTCCCGGGTCAGACTCCTGTTTTGCAGGGTTCTTTTAATGGGCAACCAATCTGCTCCTGGAGCAACAGGAAATGACCTTACAGGTCATCCGCTTACTAATTATTAGGGACACCCGCCGCAGTGCGGGGCACACACAGCATTCGCTGTCATCTGGGGGCGGGGGCGGGGTGGGGGGCGGAAGGATGGTACACACAGTGAGATGCAGGGAGGGAGCCAGATTTTTTTCAAGGAGGAACAGAGGAGAAACAAAGAGTGCAGGGTTGGGGGCGGGGGGCTGCGGGTTTACGACTCCGGCAGAGCAAATGGGGAAAGGCTTTGATCTGACAGAGAGAAAAAACACGAGAGGAAAGCAAAGCTAAGGGCAGCCGAGGCACCGTAAAGGAAGCGGAAAGGTAACAACAAAGATCATCGGATTTTAAGAGGGGGAACGGATCCTCCTGGTATGTGCTGGGAATGTATCCCCTCATAATTACTGTATGGACACAAGTGGCACGACACAGCAGAAAAAGCCACAGCCAGCCCCTCACACTTAGAGTGAAGCCCACCCTCCCCCAGGAAGAGGCAAAGAGACTGATGGTGGCAGGTGATAAATAGGGGTGGGGGATGAAGTCGTTAATAACGCTGACAAATCACCGCTGCTTTCATTAAACCCCAAGCTAATCTAATAACATAATATGACAAATATCCAAGCGTTAATGGTTTAAAAGGCCGAGCTGAAGCCGCACCCCACAGCCCCCCCCCCCTCCTGTCTGATATTCTACGCTTCCCCTGGAGTCTCTCCATCTCCAGCCCGGCATCACCGGCGTGGCCTCCGCCAGCTGCATGCGCTTTGGGATGAGAAGGGGGTGCTTCTCTCACACTCCTTCAGGCAGACACTGGGGCTGGGGGTCTGAGGAGAGAGCGCCACTCTGAGCAGAGCTATGTCTAAAAGGAAAAAATCTTAGAGGCCTTCCACTAATTTTCATGTATGAAATGTAACACAAACACAGCCAAACTAAATGCATATCATTCTCACAGGGGAACACGCCTGCAAGCAGAACGTCACCCCAACAGCAGCGATATTCCACTTCTGTTTGCTTTTGTTATTTTTCAATCTTCAACTCAACAGTTGACACACAAACAATAGACAACACTGTGGCCAGCAGTCATTTGCCTGTGGTGAGAGTCCCCCCCCCCGGCCGGGTAAAGTCGAAACCCCCTCTACAAAGCAGCTTCATTAGGTGCCCCAGGAGATACGAAATTAATTCCCAAATAAAAGCGGGGCTCTGCATCCTTGAAGCACAGACATTAGCTTGCCTGATAAATAGGAGGCACCATCATAAGCTGCACAACACAATTTAATGGAGTCATTAAAGAACTATTAGCCAAGGCCAGTAATCAGTCATGGCGGATTGCTGCACGTAATAAGGAGGTGGACTATGGGAGTGATGCACGCAGTTTCCCCCTCTGTGCCCCAGTCCGTGGGATCCTTCTCCCCCATCGGGCTTGGGTTAGGCCTCTTTTCGGCCTACAAGCTCTGCCCGAAAGTCTCTCTTATCAGTGTATCTCCCTCTCAAAATATGCGAGTGAGCGGGCGAGCAAGCCAGAGAGAGAGAGCGATAGAGCGAGAGTGAGGGGAGAGTGCTCACCAATCACTAGGCCTTTTGGCAAATTCAATAATAAAAAACAGACGGGGGGGGGGGGGGGGGGGGGGGGGGGAGGGAGGGGGGGGGGTGCACAGGGAGAGACAGGGATAATTTGGGGGAAGAAAATTAAAGTCTTGGCAGGTCCTCCATCACGGAGATTAAATTCGGTGGAAGGATAAAAATGTCAGGCGTGCCAGCTTTTCCTGTGCACTGTTGTTTTGTTCACAGAGATGAAAAATTTTCTCCTGCTGCGTCTCTCCCACCCCTCTGCACCACGCCATACCAGCTCCTCCCACCAGAGAGCGCACTGGCGGAGGGGCAGCCGGGACTCGCCCATGCGGCCTGCCTGTGGATCCGCAGGGGTACGCGGGAGGAGCACAGGTCTCCCGTCATGTGACATGAGCGACCGTTTGCACCAACATGGCTTCACGCGCTGCTGCATTTATCCCAGTATGACACACACACACAGCCCCACCCATCCGGACGGTACAGATTCCACGGATAAATGGGGGCTGACACCTGATATGAGGCGCTCCCACACTTACACCACTGCAAGCCACTTGGTCCACACTAACCCTACTGGCTGGGGGGCCCAGTGAGCTCTTACTCCTGGCCTACAGTGAGCACCCCCCTTCTGGGCAAACTGCTGAGTCTAATCCCTTCTACAAAAGGCTGGAGAATTAAGACCTCTGCTGCTCTCTTTCACAGCTACCTGGCACAGAGCCCTGCTGGCTACAAAGCCCCCCTTTGCTCCGAACAAAGCAGATCTACGTACGAATCTTTGTGTCAATCGGCAGGCCATCGGGTCAGCCGTCAAGCGGTCCATGAGATGGAAATCTCTGCGGTGGCCCCAAAAACACTGCCTTCCCATTCTGAGATGCTGCAGTGCATAATTCCGTCCACAAGGTGGCAGTAGCAGCCCGAGAGTCCAGCTGGCAACAAGCTGCAACGCGGGCCGTAATTAATGACCATTTCTAGCATTTGGGAAGACCAAGAATAACTAACTTAGAGAAATGCTTAGATCTGAGCGCTGGAAACCATCAGCACATGTCACATTTGGTGCACAGTACAATAAAAGCCGCAGGGAATTATGCAGGACGGTCAGACGACGCATCCTGAACGTATCTGAAGAGTTTTCCAGGGGGTCTGAAGCTCCCTGAAGCACTTCCCAGTTAAGTAACATGACCTGATAGCATCTTTGGGTGCCCCCAGGCACAAACTAACGGAAGGGCATGCTGGGAGTCGAGGGGACACTGGGCCGCTCTGCCCACTGTTCGCAGTGCATCCAAGGACGGGCTTATGGGGCAGAATAAGACGCAGAGGTACCAGTGGGTCTCTGCTAAATGTGTGTGTGCTGCCCGCCAGCACTTCTGTGAGCTCCACGTGGCACACAGAGGGTCCAGCAGGTCGACCTGCTCCGAGAGCACCAGCTGAAACAGCCCTGCCCCACAGGCTGCGGAAGGGGCTGGGAAGGCGTGGAAGCGGTCAGTGCTGGTGACGGGACGGCCTGGCCACTCACACTCTTTGGACATCCCCACTTCTAGGCACTTCTGCAGCCGGCAGTACTGGCAGCGATTGCGGGTGACCTTGTTGATGATGCAATTCTTCTCCCGGTGGCAGGTGTAGACCATGTTCTTCTGAATGCTCCTCCGGAAGAAGCCCTGGAGTTTGGAGGGAGATACAAGAGTGGGTGGGGGGGGGGGGGGGGGGGGGGGGGGGGGGGGGGGGGGGGGGGGGGGGGGGGGGGGGGGAAGGTCAGCAAGGATGCCACGTGTGTGCCAGGGTGGGGCTCTGACCACACAGGGTTTAACTAAGGCGCAGCTGAGAAGGAAACAGTACGTTTTATTACCGTTTTATGCAGAGCGTGAAGACAGGAAGTCGAGCTTGTATCAGAGAAGAACCACGGCGATAAGTGCCCCCCTCCCCAACCCCAAAAGTCCCCTGATCTAATTCCACAGCGCCTGACACACCCATAAAAGGGCGTTTGCACACCGTAATGTGCTTTTCATTTTAAGCAATTTAGTTTTTTCTTCCCAAGACATCTGAGCTTCTGGTCTTACTCTAGTCATCAGAAAGAACACAGACTGCTTTAGGGGGTGCTTATCTTTCTGTTATAAAACTACCATAAATGAAGATGGAGGGTGCGATCTGAAACGGGAGGCAAGAGAGAAATGACAGTGAATGCCACCTGTAGGACAGGTTATGTCTCGATAGCCCACTGCCCAATTACCGCCGAAGACTGAAACTGCCAAGTCGCCCCAGGGTAAACAGCATTTACGCAAGACATGCAACCACGACCCGAGGACCGCAGAAGATGACGGAGAACTTCCCCACATGCCAGACGGCTAACATGGTGAAATCTTGAGCATCACGGGTAAATACAGGAATAGGTGTAGGGCCAGTCAAAGTGTTTTCATCTGCCTTGTGAGAGCAAAAAATATATAAAAGTTTACCCAGTGTTAGTGTGCAGGCATCGGAAAGGGCAGCAGTGGAAATATTTAGGGTATAGCTGGTTTCTGATCAGCAGAGAAGCAGACTGCTGTTATCGCTGGGAGTGGGACAGGAAGTAGGTTTTTGCATGTTACCACACTGAGAACAGTGAAGAGGAACAGCAGAGTACACCAGGGAAAAGAGAGAAACAGAGAGAGACAGCGATAGAGACAGTATGACAGACACACACAGACAGAGAGACAGAAAGTGACAGACAGACACGCCGGCGACACCAGAGGGAGCCGCGTGAGCGCTGTCCCCCTCAAGGCTGCCGGCGTGACCCTGGGCAAGCCCATCATAAACCTGTCATTTCACAAGTGACTGCAGAAGGACATAACAGTTAGGGAGCAGCATCGGCTTGGAAACCACGGCGTCGGACTGCGGCGGACCAGCTAACCAGGTCTGTTTTGTGACTGGCGAACTTGCTGATAGAGGGGCAGCAAAAGCGTGCGACTGGACGTCACCGAGGGCCCTTCACCGGACAGGGCCTCCCTTCCACAGCTCTGCGGCTCTTTAGCGACATTCTGCACCTTTCTGTACCACACAGGGTGCTGGTCAGAGGCACAGGGCCCCTACAAATGGCTTAACCGAGAGCTCAGTCACAGAGAGGTGATTTAGGAGGGCAAGTCAGGGCCGCTGTGAAATGGCGGCAGGGCCCCTCCCTCCAAACCCTTGTCACTGCCCAGGCCCTCCGCCACACAACTCAATCACGGAGCTCTCAATTCAAGCATGCTCCTAGTCGGCTGGCACTCCCACCTGACCTCAGCCCCAGCCGAAAATCCCATCAAGGGACCAGGGGTCAGCTGACACCTGCCGCCCGCTCGCAGGGACCTGGGGAAGGAAGGTGCCACAGCCAAAGAGGGCAGCCCCCCCAGCAGTTAATGCCGTGTGCTCTGACCCCCAGGATGTGGAATGGCAGGTGGGGCGCGGCTGAACATCCAGCACTAAACCCAAACTACTCCACTTAAGCATCCAGCTGCAGAAATGGGTCCAGATCCGCAAGTGGGATCAGGACGGCGGCCAGACAGCTGGACATACACAGCTGAGAAGGAATGCCGTCCTCTGGCCAACCGGAACGCAGAAAGCATTAGACATACTTCATTCACCCGCTGATTGGTATTTGAACTGGTATTTGAACCTGCTAGGCAGTAACTCCAGTGACACTGACTTTGTGAGGAGAATGAGTAAATAAGATCGCAAGCGAGAGAATGCGAGCCCCTTTCTGCCTGACGATACAGGCGGGGGGGGATCCTCGCTCACTCGCCTGACAGCTGTGCCTCCTCTTTGCAAAATGCTAATGACTTCTCTAATGGGAGCCAACAAGAAAAACTGCAACAGCGACAGCGCACTGGTAGACTTTAAGCTGACTGTGTGCCAAGAATAACTGTCATCCTCCCAGAAGTCAAACAGAGATGGAGAGACACTGCTGATCCTGCTCCCATTCAAACACACACAGGCAGACGGAGAGACAGACAGACTGCCTCACACACAAAACAGAATGCCTGACACACACACACACACACACGAGACATACTCACTCACACACACACACAAATGAGACAGGCTGACACACATGTGCGAGCACGCACACACACACACGGAGGCAGGCTGACACACACACACACACACACACACACACACACACACACAGAGAAGCGGGTCTCGCCACAGCACAGCAGGCACCGCTGGGACACGGGAGGGAGCAGCCGGCAGCTGCTGGGGGAGATACACTCCAGGCACCAGTCATGATCACATTTCTCTCTTCAGCTAATGAATGCAGCTGTTTATGCTCCGAAATCCCCTGGAATGAAATCAATTGGGTTTTCACTAGGTGTAAAAAAACACAGTGGCAGAGGACGGGCCAAGCGGCTGCCTGGGAGAGAGAGAGGAGAGTGCACAGGGTGGGGGGTACTGATGGCATGCGAGGCAAAGAGGCCGGGCACAGAAACACCCCGACGGACAGGGAGCGGACGGCTGGGCGGCTCTCTGAATGCGACCGGCTGTCACAAAGAGTGAGACAGCACCGCCGACCACTGGGCCTGCTCGCAGGGAAACGGATTAGGGCCAATCCAAGAGGGAGAGATGGAGGGATGAAAGGGAGGCAGAAGAACAGAGAAACGATGGCTCTAATGTGTGATCCGCCTGTGATCTCTCCCTTGTCAACACTTAACCCCGTGCATACTACTGGACGGGGGGCTCAGGTACTCCCACAGCTTCCCGGACACTCCCCTCTGTGCCTACACCCCCATTCCATTAGGAAGTCCTGCTTCCCATGGCCCGAACAGGGCCCCCCCCCATCAGCACTAATCCAGCCTGCGACGGCAGCTCTCCTTATCAGCAGGCCTGCAGAGCTGTGGGGAGGCCGAAGGGGTTTCCAGGATGACAGGGACCAGCTTAGGAGCCACACCGCGGGGATCTGTGGGTATGTCGCCACGGCAACGGGATCGATCCCACCCACCACGCAGCCGCCCCTGCGGGAGGAAGTCCGCCCTTCAGGCAGCGAGACGGGAGTCTGGGCATGGAAATGCTGCAAAGGATGGGCAGATGTCACGCTGCGCCGGTGCGCCTGCCAGGCCACCGATGACAGCAGCAGAGACGACATCACGGGGCGGCGGGGCCGCGACACGCCTCAACAGCCCCATCCAGAAGGGGCCAAAAGGCTCAACCGGTGCGAGGACGAAAGCGGAGTGCTAAGCTAACGGGTGACCGTCCTGTGCTCACCACATTCCTACTAATTCACAGAAGAGCAACATGCAATTTCAATGCAAGCATCGCTGCCAGCCTGGATTCCCCGTCCGGCACCTGCCCCCCCCCCCCCGAGACAGCGCCAGTGGCCGTGCCTGTTAGGGGAGGGCTAACCTGAGCACTACCCCAGGCCCAGCAGGGCAAATCACGCAAACGTAGGCCGGCGCCGTTTAATCATATGAGGTGCACGAACCCGGGTTTGAGCAGAGGAATGGTAGGAGGACACGGGTGACCTTAGCTGCAGCAGCGGGGGCTCCCTGACGTTAATCTCAGCAGGTGACCATTCAGCTCAAAGGATTTGCTTAATTCCCACTCGGCACATGTGACCTTGCCCAGACCACTAACAATAATAGCAATGATGATGATGATGAAGATGATTATGCAAGAGGATGGACTCTATGTGAGCACAGCAGCCACGCTTTGCCAATAGATTGTCTGTGTTCTGCTGCTGTACCTGCCTCCCTCACAAGGCCCCCCCCCCCCACAAGTTCAGGGGCGGGAGAGTGTATCTATCCATGTTCAGGGGTGCGACAGTATATCTATCCATGTTCAGGGGTGCGACAGTATATCTATCCATGTTCAGGGGTGCGACAGTATATCTATCCATGCTCGCTCAGTGAGTCCAGGGCCCCTGATTTCAAATACAGCTTACAAGTCCCTTCACTCCCAGGGCCCAGAGCTCTCAGCCAGGCTCCAGATACGACAGTGAAAAAAGAAGCTTCCAGAAGGAAGCCAGGAATACAACTGCGGCATGACAGCGCCTTCCGTTTCTGTCCCCGCTAAAAGAGAAAGGCTCAGCCCGGAGCAGGAAGGGCCTCATAACTGCCAGCTTTGTCTCAGACTCCTGGAACTGGGCTCTGCACTGCATCCCTGGCAACCTGCTTCTGAAAAACTGGTAACATCAGCTGCGCGCTGACAAATAAGCAGGCCCGGAAGGTCCAGAATGCCCTCTGCTCTCAGAGATGGCCGAATTCATTCAGAGGGACTGGCAAGGCTGAGCAGCCCTGTGCGATCATAAGGACGAGACAGAGGCTGGAGGTGCCTTCTTCAGGGCCTGGGAGGGCGGTCCCTCAAGGAATGGGAGGGGCTGAGTACAGGGCAGTTGGCATGGTAACTGTCACTGCACATGCGCAGATGGCAAACTCACCTTGCAGCCCTCGCAGGCGCTGACCCCATAGTGGTACCCTGAGGACTTGTCCTGGCACACGAAGCAGGGCTTGTAGACCCGTGGGGGAGGGGGCGGCGAAGGGGGGCTTGGCACGATCTCCTCTGAGCTGGTGCTCTGAGTCTCAATGGCTGCAAGAGGGGAGATGAACGTAAAGAGAGGTCAGATACTCGAGTGAAACTTCAGGAAACCCAGCACAGGCAGCGAGACAAAGCGGCGCACAGACAGAGGCGCAGGCACAGAGACGCACAGGCACAATTCATGTTGTGAGGCACAAGTCCAGGTTCCCAGGAACACGGCACTCAATCACTGCATCATGGCCACTGGAAATGCTTTGGTTTAAAATGCAGAGTTTATGCCAAGCCTGCTCCCCGCTGCCATTAATACAGTACAACGTGTGTGTGTGTGTGTGTGTGTGTGTGTGTGTGTGTGTGTGTGTGTGTGTGTGTGTGTGTGTGTATCATCTGCTGGCTGCCTGCGGGCCCCAACGGCACTGCTGTGTAAATAAGACGTCTAAATTTAACACTGAGTCTGTGTGGCTGCGGGGGGGGGCTCCACGTGATGCCAAAGACCACGGCCACTGAGACCAGCACAGGTGTCCCCTCCTCTGTCCCGGCCACTGAGACCAGCACAGGTGTCCCCTCCTCTGTCCCTGCCACTGAGACCAGCACAGGTGTCCCCTCCTCTGTCCCTGCCACTGAGACCAGCACAGGTGTCCCCTCCTCTGTCCCTGCCACTGTGACCTACAGTTGCTCCAGGTGTTGCTATTATCCAAAGTGACTTACAGTTGAAACCCGCCTGCACAGTGTGACTGTTTTTATGCCTATAGTTTATGTACCTTTCTCACAGCTACAGTCCTTCCGGGACAGAATCTCCTAACATTCAGGTAAAGCAGCTGCCACCATAACCGCCGCACCACCCACTGGCCCAGCAGCCGCCAGGAGAGGGCGAGCCGGGAGCGAGAGCAGGCTGCCGGCCAATTACAGCCAATTAGACAGCCCCGGCGAGAGCAGCACGAACACTGCGCAGAGAGGGACGGGGAAATGGGGCACAGTACATCAGGTCTGCGCTGTGGTGCAGGCTCAGAGCCGGCATAGCGATGGAGGCACTAATCTCTCTTTTGAAAGCCAGACAGCACTGCAGTGGAATGGCTTATCACGCTCCGTGGGAAAAGTTGAGGAAGTTATTACACATGCTGTGGCATGACTTAAGACGCTGGGCGTTTGAGAAGTTGATACCAGTGTGTGTGTGTGTGTGTGTGTGTGTGTGTGTGTGTGTGTCCCTCCCTCTGCGTCCCTGTGCCTCCCACTCGCTGGGGGACATGTCCAGGCAGGCTTCGCATGCTTGCCGATTATTTCCAACATGGACATGGTGACTGTGTGGCGGCTGGGCACCCTGACGCTGGGCCGGCACACTGCACACACACTGCACACACTGCACACACACTCAGCCCCCAGCCTCTCACCCCCTCCGGACTCCGGCTGTGAGGACCCAGCCCACACTCCTCAATGGCTGTGCCATTTGCGCGCACACACATGCACCCGCGCACACACAGATGTGCACACACACATGCACCCGCGCACACACAGATGTGCACACACATATGCACCCGCGCACACACAGATGTGCAAACAAACCTTGCACCCCACCTTCCTCTTTTGATCTGCATGGCACTGCCAGTAATGCCAACCACATAATAGCAGAACCTTTTTGGGGCAGGGGTGTGGCTGGAGATAATCACTAAACAGGGAAGGTCCTTAAATGGGGGATACTATGTCTGTTCCCATGGGAACCTTTAAGCCTGCAATGCAATCACGGAACATAACAGCGCTAACCCATAAATACCCGCCTTGGGCCAAGCGGCTAATTATGACACTAACCCACAGATACCCACCTAGGAACACATGGCTAACTGTGATGCGAACCCATTGATACCGTGGGCCACGAAGTTAACTGTGACGCTAAGCCACAGATACCCACTTTGAGCCACGTAGCTAATTATGACACTAACCCATAGATACCTGCCTAGGGACACATGGCTAATTGTGACGTTAACCCATTAATACTCACCATGGGCTACGTAGCTAACTGCGACGCTAAGCCATAGATACCCACCTTGGGCCATGCGGCTAACTGCGACGCTAAGCCATAGATACCCACCTTGGGCCATGCGGCTAACTGCGACGCTAAGCCATAGATACCCACCTTGGGCCATGCGGCTAACTGCGACGCTAAGCCATAGAAATTCACGGTGGGTCAACAATGCAAACTGCAGCACTAACCCATAGATACCCAGTTTAGGCCCTGCAGCTGATTGCCGCTCACACCAGCTGGTAGAGATAAAAAGCAGCAGCAGCAAACAGTAAACAAACATGCGTGTGCATGGAGGTGGGGGCTGCAACAAAACCAGCAGCAGCAGACCTGCCCTGTAGCTGCAAATTAAGAAAACGGGGCCAGAGCACCCTGCTGCTTCAAAAACAAGGCATGGCAACAGTACAAATTAGGCCTGTATTTATTACACGTGAATAAAGGGCGCAGGTGCCACACAGTCATAAGAGGAACCTGCTTTTGTTCGGCTGCTTTTTCCTTTGCATTGTCTGATACGCCCAACTAGAAAACAGAAGAAGGACCAAGGCTGGCATTTCAGCTCGCTGAACAGTTGGCTGATGGGACTCTGATCATCATAGATTGTGGATCACAGAAGGAATCACCCCTGTACTGCACTCTCAGCTAGAAAGAAGTTGTTTTTCCAAAGTGAGTTCTCTTCCTTTCTCTTCAGGCTCTCATGGGCAACCAGTAAAGATCCACCGACCCGCTGCACCTTCATCCTCCCCACTTCCCAGTTTGTCGTTTGCCTCCATGTCGTTCCATCGCCCTGGCAGTCGTGGCACATGCATCAGACAAAATAAGCTTAAACAGAAGTGCTTGCGTAACAAACCTTTCCATCTCATTAGTGAAAAAACTTAGTTGCCATTTCCCAGTGTTTCAAAGCCACCCGATCCAGACCCATTACAGCCAAGGTTATTAGGGGGCTCACAGAGCCATTTATCCTTATTAAAGCTGCCTTCATTAAGACACAGACAGAGCCAAAGGCGGCCTACAGTTCTACAGCAGGCAGCCCTCCCCCACAAGGACCTAATGAGAGCGCAGATGAAATCTGGGCCGCAAGGACAGATCCCGCGAGAGTGCCGGTCAGCTGTAATTAAACACAATCGCTCGGTCACGGGTGCTGCGCCGTTCAGCACTGGGGGAACAATAGCAGACTTGTGAAGGCCCGGCTTGGAGAGAGAGACAGACCTGTGGGGAGGCCTCTGACATTCTCCCGTCTTTCTCTCCATGGTGCCCCCTGATGGAGGATGTTGGCATAGCGCCATACTGTTCCTTACACTGCAGACTCAGCAGTCACACTTCTTCAATGACTGGTGTATAAATTGCATGTTCTGCATGTCATACATGTTTATAGCAGCTGCAGCCAAGCTGAGCCTCTCATGCGTACGGATCCCCTAATTATTTAATTCAACCCTAAAAATGAGATGGGGGCGTCGGGGTCCTGAAGATCACTAGGTGTTGAGATCTCCTATTCTGACTTATGATCCCAAACCACCACTGACTTATGCAGCTTGTGTCTTCGATTAAGGATTAATACCACAGAAGCAAACACTCTCTGCATCAGTGTGTGCTGACACAAGTCCAAAGCTCTTTCCCTTGCCTGTGAATTCTGCCTGAAGTTCAGGCCTGGGTTAGCAGGCCAAGATTACATTACAGCTCCTACACATCAATTACCGGACCCGGCTTGTCAAGCATATTAATGAGATTTCAACGTCATTAAATGAATGTCAGCTACATTACCAGGCCCAGAGGAGCAGTTAGTGGGTTCAGGGGGAACAGAGGAACTCCTGTTTCCAAGGCGAGCGTCACAGAACCCTGTGCTCCTCAGGCGCTCTATTAGATTAGGCCTCCAGAGCACCAGACGTCCTCCGCAACACCACAGGTCATCAGTCTCCCTTAGGCGTCCTTCACAAGACATCCACTCTGCTAAACAGTCCCAGTACTGGCCGGCTTTGGGAAGAACCCCGCCAGACGCTGAAGCGATGCTCTCAAACGAGCTGCTCCGCCAGAGGAAGGGGTCACGCTCAAAGGAGCGAAGGAACAAAGAGGAAACAGATTCATGTTCAGAGGGCAACGTAACCCCGAAGTAGCTTGCAGGTCGAAACAAATTGACGCTGCGCAGTGTGATGGGATTTACGGAAACCTACATGCTCTTCTCATGTCAGGAAGCTTAAAGCAGAGGCGTTTTCAAAGCCTGCGTCCTTGAGCTGTAGGGCTCCCTCATCTGACCGAGGCCCTGCTCCAGGCAGCCCCTTTGTTACTCGGCACTATGGCCGGTGGCCACACTCTACTCTGCTTTGTAGCTTTGTGTGGAGGCCCACAGTGCCCCCCCCCCCCCCCCCCCCCCCCCCCCCCCCCCCCCCCCCCCCCCCCCCCCCCCCCCCCCCCCCCCCCCCCCCCCAAGGGGGGGGGGGGTGCTTGGTGAGTGCCAGGGTGGTGATGCAGATGCCTGGAGAGCATTCATCACAAGGGAAACGGGGTGAAGTAACTATTTAAAAGGAGAGTGCTTCACCATCAAGCCTAATGGCATGTTTAAAGCTAGAATAAAATCAAGAGGCCCCTTCTTTGCAGGGTGCCCCCGGAGGCTGGGAGGACTGCCAAATGACCTGTGAATAACACATCTTTGTTTAGTTTTTCTTAAACAGCTACCCAGATAAATGCATCTCTCCTCAGTGAACAGGTAAAGACACCGGTATTAATGAGCTGTGGGGGTGCGCTACCGGATAAAATGGCGGGACACCTGTTTTAGCAGGGCTGACGTCAAATGTGATGCAATGCTGTTTGTGCGCCACTGAAGCATGAAATGCGCTGCAGCTTTTAGGACGAGGAAACCGTGAGTTGTGGCTGGCGGCCAACACACAACCAGGGGGCAAAGGTCAAGTCCCGAGATGTTTAAGCGTGATAAAATGCAGCGATGGACTCTGCGGCTGGAGGGCAGCTAACGCTAACAAACTCATCAAGACACCAAAAAGGCAGCTGACTTTTTTCTGAGCAGAGACGCCGCGTCTCAGACCACCAATTG